TATCGTATAATTGGGTGGCAGCTGTGGCTAATGAAGATAACTGGGATAAAAGGGGGTGGGTTGGCTGCTCAGGGAGAGCCTTGGAGGAGCCCTGGTGAAGCAGCAGGAACAACACTGCTGTGAAGAGCTGCTTGTGAGAAAACCACTCAGAAGATATGGGACTCTGGAAATATAATAACAACCCACTGGGGCTGGGAGCAGCCTGGGACAGTGTCCCTGCCATGGCAGGGGTGGCACTGGATGGGCTTTGAGGTCCTTCCAACCCAAATGACTCCATGATTTAGGATTCTAAGATCAAGTCCAGCCATGAACCTGGCACTGCCAAATCCACCACGTCCCTGGAAGGGGCCATGGCCCTGCTCTCCTGCACGAGCACATTCCCAGGGTCCCCATTTGCTCTGGCAGGGGCAGCATGTGGATTACTGGGCTCAGGCAGCATCTCTGGAGCTTGGCTGGGAGGTCTCATGACAGCTGTAGGGACAGGACCAGGGGCTGGCTCAGGAAGGGTGCTTGGAGAGATGCCCAGAAGGGTTTGGTCTCCAGTGGAAAATTTTGACAGGGTAAAATATGTCCCCCTTTAAAAAAAAGTTAAAATAAAATAAAAAAAGGAAAAAAGTACAAACCAAACCCAAACCAAATCAAGGTGTGAAATTTGCTGTGAAATGATTCTGGAAAAGTTTCTACATTTCAGTGCTTAAGTCCCTGTTTCAGAGGAGGCTCCTGCTGACCCCCTGGTGCTCTTCCACCTCCACAGAGTGAGCTGCAGGGGAGGTGGAAGGGAGATCCAGGGAAGCTGGGGTGTATGTACAGCAGGATGCCTGTCCAGGCCTCCATAGAAAAAGGTCTCACACTTTCTAATCCTTCCTAGGAGCAAAAATTTTCTGGATCCCACTCCAACAGCCTCCATTGCCAGAACCAGTGAATTCCCAGGGGTCTGCAGAGCCACCAGCACATCCTCAGGGACAACTTCCCCCATCCCAGCTCTTCCCACAGCCATCCAGCCTCCCTGCCAGGACCTGGACACTCCTTGGTGTAAATCCTGAGGAAACAATCAGGCTATGGGACCTAGTTCCCAGTCAGACATTTCTAATGAATCTGATTTTGTAAAAACAGAAATCCTGGAGATGCAGAGTCAGCCAATCCCTCTTGAAACCTCATCAAGCATCACGCAGAGCAGGGAGAGATGAGCTGCTCCGTATTCCCTTTTTGTGCTGTTTGAAACACCAGGGAAGGGAAGGGAAGGGAAGGGAAGGGAAGGGAAGGGAAGGGGGATGCAGCATCATCATCACCAGGGTGGCAGGGAGTGCTGGCAGATGCTCTGCCCAGCACAGGGGCTGCCCTCAGCCTTTCCCCAAGATGCCACAGGCAGGGGAGCAGCCCAAGCACTGCAGCTCAGATAAAGTCAGGCTGGGTTTGGGAAGGGAGAGGTGCAGCACTGAGAGATCTCCAGAACGTGCTCAAGGAGCTGCTGGCAAATCCACTCTTGCCTTACCTGAAGGACCATCCTCCAGCCCACCAGCGGGTAAGAGATGCCAAGAAACTCCAAGGGGCATTGCTCAGTCCACTGGCTCCACCAACACAGTTGTTCTGCGATTGGAAGTCCTCCCATCACTTTCTTCACCTCCTGGGACCGTAAAAAAATTATAACTTGGCCATTGGCCCTGAAATGCAGAGGGTGTGGCACACGAAGACCTGGGTGCAGAGCCATTAATGTGGAAGGGCTGACCGAGCTCCCATCGTGTCCATCAGAGATCCCCTATGGACCCCAAGGCTGCTCAGGAAGGGGGAGATAATTCCCTGCTGCTGTTAATCTGCAGAGACACCTACGACCACAGGAAAATCACAGGTTAAAGCTGTTCCACCTCTTCCAGCAGGAACACCTTCCCTGTCTTGTGAACCTCGAAGACATGACACACAGAGGAAAGATAGATGATTAATTTGTTTTTCCAAACCATGTCCTGGAAAAAAAAAATCAAAGTTTTTAGCTAGAGGAAAATTGTTTTGGCAGCCCAGCCCTCCAGGAGCTGTTTTGGAGTTCATTTTAGTTGACTGAGTGTGCTCACACATCTGTGATTAGACACTCTACAGATATTTTTGTTAACCTCCCTATTTGAAATTCTCCCCAAACTTCCAGAGCAGGATTTTCTTGTCCAAGCATTTGTATTTTGTATCCGTGCTGTAATACTGCTTTATAAATAGCAAGAGCTTTATCTTGACTCTAACCAACAACCTCAACTTAAAGCTAAATGCATAATTTACTGCAAATTAAACTTAATGGGACTGGAATAATTATGTTGACTTTTGGAAGTACTTAAGGATAAATACATGATTAGATATTTTGCACACCGTGAGGAAATATTTATTTCAAAATACAAATTCTTCCCATTGAGTCTTTGGATGGAACATTTAGAGGTGACATGAGCAGCATAGAGATTACAGCCCAGTTAAAGCTGCTTAAACAAATTCTCCTACAGGACTTGGAGCATCGGAGAGGTGGGAAGTCTCTGTGCCATGGGATCATGGCCTGGGGAAGTGGGCACATCCCTGCCTGGGGCTCTGCAGCCTCTGCTCCCTGTGCCCGCTGTGGATGAGGAGCTCTGGGCTGCCCATGGGAACAGGATCATCCCACCCAGCCAGCCCTGCCCACGCCTGGTCCCCAAAAACAAACCCAGCAAGGAGGGATGG